CTATAGATTAAATGATACGTGATACTATGTTTAATCGAAGAACTAAAGGTTGAATAAAGCAGATTTCTCCAGCACCAAACGCCGTGTTTCAGCTTACGGTGAGTGTCTGATACATAATAAATGAGCTGTATCAGTTCACTATCAATATTTAGTGAAACCCCAAAAAATCATGTTAATCTTTTATATTGCATATATATATATTTTTTTTTTTTTTTTTTTTTTTTTTACCCCACTCTGGCTGCTAAAATACCGCTGTCTGACTTTCGTGTAAAAGACAGTCTATATCAAAGGCGAAAAACAAAGTCTTATCTTCTTCCTTTCCTCTTGTCTCTATTCCCTTCTTTCCCTCTCTTTCTTCTCCATTTTTTCACTTCTTCTTCTTTTAGCGTCCCTTGTTCTTTTCACTTATGTATTGTCCTTATCGTTTCTTGTTATCATTCTTTAATTTTGTATTTTTTTTTCTATAACAGATACTTGATATTTTTATTACTTTAATTTTTAGTGTCATTATTATATTCAATATCATTATTATTATCATTTTTGTTGTTATCATGATCATTATTGTGATTAGTATCATTCTTATTATTATTATTATTATTATTATCATTGCTATTGTTATTATAATTTTATCATTATATTATTATTATTATTATTATTATTATTTATTATTATTATTATTATTATCATATTATTATCATTATTTATTATTATTATTATTATTATTATTATTATTATTATTATTATTATTATTATTATTATTATTATTATTATTATTATCATTGCTATTGTTATTATAATTTTTATCATTATAATCATTATTATTATTATTATTTATTATATTATTATTATCATTATTATATTATTTATTATTATTATTATTATTATTATTATATTATTATTATTTATTATTATTATTATTATTATTATATTATATTATTATTATTATTATTATTATTATTATTATTATTATTATATCATCATCATCATCATTATTATTCCCATTATCATTATCATTATTATCATTATTATCGTTATTATTATCACTATTATTATTATTATGATTATTATTATTATCTTTAGCATTATTATTATCATTAGCATTATTATTATCATTAGCATTATTGTCATTATCATTATTAACATCATCATCATTATTAATATTAATATTATCGTTATTGGTATTATCATTTTCATCAATGCTGTTATTATTATTATCATTATTATCATTGTTATCCACTTTCTTATCATCATTTTTCGATCATCAAGATTTTTAAATATTATTGTTGTTGTTACTATTATCATTATTACCATTATCATCATTATTAGTATCATTATTATCATCAATATCATCATTAGTAGTAGTAGTAGTGGTAGTAACAGTAGTAGTAATAGTATCATTATCATCTTTATCATTGTTATTATTATTGCTATTATTGTTAATCATCATCCTTATCATCACTATTATCATTATCATTATCATTATTCTTATAATTATTATTATAATTATCATTATCATGGAAATAGTTATTATTATCATTTTCATGAAAATAATCATCATTATTATCATTATCATTATCAATCTTATTAATAATGATTACTGTTATCATTATTATCATTATCATCATTATTATCATTATTATCATTATTATAATTACTGTTACTATTATGACTGTTATGATGATAATCACAATCATGATTATTATCATAATTATGATTGTTATCATTTTTATTATTGTCATTATTGTTGTTAGTATTATCATGATTATCATAACTATCACTATTCTGATTAATAGTATTTTTATTATTATCATTATCATTACTAGCATTATTGTTGTTATTATCATTATCAGTGTTATCAATGTTATCATTATAATTATTGTTATTACTCTTATATTATTATCAAGAATATTATTATATCAATTACTATTTTTTTAGTGTTATGATCATTGTTTTTTGTTTTTTTACCATCATCATTATTATCATCGTTATCATTATTATTGTTATTGTTATTATTATTATCATTATCATTATTTTTATTATTGTCTTCATTATTATTATTATTATTATTTCTATCAGTAGCACTATCATTACCATTATTATCATATTACAATTATTATTATCATTTAGATCATTATCATTATTATTACTGTTATTTTGATCATTACTTTATTGTTATTATCGCAATTGTAATTATTCTAATTATTAAAGATATTATGTTATCATCATGATCATTTTCATCATCATTTGTAGTAGTAGCTGTAGTGTCATTATGATTATTCAACATTATTATTGATAGTATCATCATTATTATCATAATTTTTACTTTCCTATCGCTCATAATTGAACATAACTAAATGATTCTTAACGTACTGATTTTGTTATATATATATATATATATATATATATATATATATTATATATATATATATATATATATATATATATATATATGTGTG